GGAGCTCGCCTGCCTCGCAAAACCAGCTCCCTGCGAGCTCATTCAGAGCACATTTTGCTATTAGGGATCCACTCAGAACTCCGACAGAACTTTCTCTGGGGCGACCATACTCCTTCGTATCAATTCTCTGCCAACAGCACCGCGGGGCTCTCCAGATCCAGAAGCGGCTGAGTCGTTTGATATTTAATTCATATTGTTGGCTTGATTAAAAAGCTTCTCCTACACCTTTAAATACGACGTCCATACCTATAACCCCTTGCGTATCGTATGCAGTAGACAAAGCACCAGCAGGACAATGTGCGATAAATTCGCCGCAAGCGGGATTCGAACCCAGGTCGAGCCGTAGGGTGACCAGCGAGATGACCGCTAGACTATCGGCGCACGGCCAGTAGACTGAAATAAATAAAGGAGTAAACATTATTCGTAGTACAAACGACAGTATGTATGAAGGAAAGTCTATTGAGAAGGCCTTGCCACCTAGGATTAGCGCTCACTCTCTTTATAGTTGCAACCAGGGGCCCGCAAAGCGCGCTAAAAGCGTTATCACAGCAAAACCTGTTAGTTCCGAGGATGAGCTGTGCACTGGATGCTCCTTTATTCTGCTGAAGGTCCAGAAACTCGAAAAAGAGCTGACTGCTTTAAGGGAACACGTGCAAGCGAACGATAGTGTGCAAAACGCGGTGAATAGCGCTAAAGTTAGCAAAAAAGGGAAAGAGCAAAACTCTGAAACAGCCCAAGAACAAAGCTTGTGGAAAACCTCTGTGCAAAGGCGCCGATACCCTGGACGATGGGAAAATAGCAACGGAGTCTCTTGTTTCTATGGAAGACAACCTAAGCGAAACATCAACTTCTCTCAGCCATTCCGCGTGTTCAAAAGGACCCTCAGTTGGAAGTGAGGAAACAAGCTCATGGCAAGATGGAAAGGGTAAGCGCCACAACGGGAGTATAGAACCCCAGACGACTCCGGTGGATCTTCTGAGACCTTCAGCTGACAAGGCCGCCGGAAACAGAACAAATGAACCCCTTGATCGTCAGCACTGCGTAGTCGTCCAGGGCCTATCGGAGTCGAATGCCCCTACCCCGAAGGAGAGGATCTCTGCTGAGCTTAATATGCTTCAACACCTACTGAACAAAATGCCTAATTCGAATGAAAAGATAACCATTCGCGCAGCCTTCAGGATCGGAAAGAAGGTGAGCGAACAATCGAAAACTGTGCGGCCACGACCTCTGAAAATTGTTTTGAACAGTAAAGAGGAGGATAGCTTACTTCTGTCCAGGAAAAGCAGCCTCCGAAACTCTCACAAGGAAGTTTTTTTCAACCGGACTATTCTCCAGCGGAACGTCTGAAACGCCGCGAATTGGTAACGGACTTGAAGAGGAGACTTGCAGCGAGAGAGAGCAACTTGGCCATTTTCAGGGGTCGAGTGATACAGAGGAACGCGATGTTGTTTTGGAACCAGCCAGTCATCATGATGGCGGCAGCAACATAATATTGGCAAACCCGAGACTAACCGAACGAAGCACTGTCGAATGTTGCAAACTAAAATTCTTTTACACCAATGCTCAGAGTCTGTTTTCCAAGCTTGGCGAACTGAGAATACAGGTAGCCGATACTCTTCCCGATGTTATAGCAATAACAGAAACGTGGCTGTCAGATAACGTGGGTGATTGCGATGTAGCATTGACAGGATACCATTTGTTTAGGAAAGACAGGAGAGGCCGCCGGGGTGGAGGAGTTGTCATGTATGTCAGGAGCAACTTAGCAGTGTGTGAGAGGACCGACAAGATTTCTAACGACACAGAGGCAATTTGGCTGACTATAAAGGCGCGGGGATCTCAGTCCCTCGAAATCGTAACTATCTACCGGCCCCCGCAGGCGGATCCCGACCCAAATACTTGTCTACTTGAAAGCATAAAAGAGATCGCCAGCCGACCAGACGTTGTTCTCATGGGGGATTTTAATGCACCCTGCATTCAATGGAGCGATATGCATGCGAAATGCTCGATGAATACCTTCTATTACCATCTACTAAAGACAACTCTAGAAGCTCTACTCACGCAACATGTCCTGTTTCCAAATAGAGCTCGTGGAGGGCAACAGGCCAGTTGTCTGGACCTCGGTTTTACCAAAGATCCTGACAGTATAGACGGGGTGTACTACCTACCCCCGCTCGGTCGAAGTGATCATGCAGTGCTTTTATGGGAGTACTTGCTGTATTCTGAACTGTGTACAAAAGACAATACGAGGCCAAATATATGGAAAGGATACTTTCGCCAAATGAAAGCGAGGCATCACAAATAGACTGGAATGTTCTCTTCTCCGGAAACGTTAACGAGGACTGGAATTTATTCAAGGATCGTTTACTGCATCTAATGAAGAACCACTGTCCCTTATCAAAGCCTAGGATATCCAACCGCCCTCAGTGGCTTACACGAGAAATCAAAAGGGAGATCAACAAGAAAGGATGGTTATGGAAGAAATTTCGCGAGAACAACAACAATGCAGCGTTTACTAAAATACAAAGTTCAAAGAAATAGGGTGAAAAGCCTGATTTTCAGGAGGCGACGGGGTTTTGAGAGTAATTTGCTCCATCGAGCCGTTGAAAATCCGAAATTGCTCTACAGCTATTTGCGGAAAAGCACACGTAACAGGAATCCCATTCCTGTTATGAGGGGTGATGACGGCTTGGAGATATCGGACAGTACAAATAAGGCTGAGCACTTTTCTCAATTTTTCCGATCCGTTTTCACAAGAGAAGCAGACTTTACCCCATCTAATTCTGAGAACATGAGAGATCCCCCTATCGAAAGTATTGAGTTTCGAGAAGAAGCAATTTTGGAAGAACTGAAAAGCTGGAAGGAATGTAAATCTCCCGGTCTGGACGAGATCCCAGCAAAGCTGCTCTTTGAACTTGCCCAACAGCTGGCCAAGCCACTATCCTTTCTGTGCCAGAAATCGTTTGATGTTGGAATTCTTCCCACAGACTGGAAGACGGCCCACATTACACCCCTTTACAAAAGCAGTAGTCGTGCTCAGGCGACAAATTACAGACCCGTCAGTCTGACATCAATCTGCTGCAAAGTGATGGAGAAAACCATCAAAAAGTAGTTGATGGCTTACTTGGAAACCCACAACCTCTTGTCCAATACACAATATGGTTTCCGTAGGGGAAGATCATGTGTCACGAACTTGCTATACACAATGCAAAATTGGACACGAGCACTGGACCCAAAACACACCGTGCATGTTGACTATATTGATTTCCGGAAGGCGTTTGACAGTGTTCCGCACCAGCGTCTCCTACACAAGTTGAGAATTATGGGCATCGGTAGCAAACGTCTCAAATGGATCGAAAATTTCCTTGTCGGCCGCTCCCAAATTGTCTGCGTAGAACAACAGCAATCAAGGTGCACATTCATAGAGAGTGGGGTCCCACAAGGCTCGGTGCTCGGACCAACCCTCTTTCTCTTGTTCATCAATGATTGTGTAGATAGGTTGGACTGTGATTGTGCCATGTTTGCGGACGACATTAAAATCTGGAAAGTCATCCAGAATGCTGCCGATGAGACCAACTTCCAAGAAAATCTTTGTCGATTTGACCAGTGGTTCCGCAGATGGCTCTTGTCCTTCAATTTGAACACATGCACCATTCTGCGCCTCGGAAATCAGAGCCCTAGTACGCGGCAATACCATCTGAACGGAATGCCACTCCGAGAAGCAGAAACTCAGAAAGATCTCGGAGTTTGGGTTGCAGACAGCCTTAAGCCTTCTACACAATGCTGTAAGGCGGCCAAGGCCGCAACCTCAATGCTATATGCCATTAAACTGGCATTTGTAATTTTCAATGAAGACTGCTTCACCAAAGTCTTTGGCACGTTTATAAGGCCCCATCTCGAATATGCAATTCAAGCCTGGAGACCGTGGACGCATCAGGATTACAATCTGCTCGAAAGGGTGCAGAGACGAGCAACAAAATTAATAAGAGGTCAAAGTGCACTGCCATACGAGCTCCGCTTAACTAACCTTAATCTCTATCCTCTGAGTTATAGGCAGTTGCGCGGAGACATGATACAAACTTTCCGTATCGTGCGAGGCTTCGATTGTGCCCTTCGGCGCGATGACTTTTTCCAACTCGCCGCTACAACTCACCTCCGGGGACATCCCTTCAAGCTACGTGTGCCACAGGGTAGACTGACTGTGAGAAAATATTTCTTCTCCAACCGTGTCGTGGAACCGTGGAATAACCTGCCCGAGACGGCTGTAATGTCTCAATCTGTGGAGACATTTAAATGTCGCCTTGACAGATATATGCTGCAGCAACAAGCGGACTATGTGACTTTTTAACCATGTGACTAGTGACATATCTGAATCAATGTATGCATTCACTTAATGATGTAATTTCTTCACATTGTTGCATGTTTATCGATTTTTTATGTACAAATAGGGAGTTCAAAGGCGTATGCCTATTTCCCTCAAATACACTGACTGACTGACTGATTGAAAGATACCGTCCCCTCAAGAAACACCTAACCTGAAACAAACCAAAATGGTTGACAACAGCGGTCAAGAAGGAAATCCGAAAAAACGCAAATTTTCTTACTGTTATGACCCGCCTGGTACGCGAAATCCTGTGGAGCGTATGCGCACTCGACCCTTGTCCCCAATACCAACGCGGCAGAGAAGGAGAACGCGACCGGCCACGAAACTGTGTATTAGGAAAATGCAAGTCAACATGAACTGGAAGTAACGCGTATTTATAACGCCTTACGGTGCTTCGCCGGCGTTCGGCCCAATGCCCTTCGGGAAGAACATTCGAGACGAGCCGGTCGATAATATGCTGATCAATCAGGCCCGCGAGGAAATGCCAATGGAGAGGCGCCACGATTAAGATGACAGCGCAGTAGAGAAAACGCACGTGGCCTCCCGTGATTGGCTGGCTCTTGTTTTTGGGAGTGTAGGCACTCCAAACACCTCCCCTCCAAGTAGGTCAGTACCGCTTCTAGCGTGGGTTGACCTGCATCAGACGTGTTGATCGGCGCACGCGGTTGGTCCGGCGTCTTAGTCGTGGTTTAATGCCTGGAGATACGGGAGCGGTAACTGATACCGAAGATGGTGTATCCGAAGGGGGCGCAGAAGTGGATTCGGGAACCGACTGATCTGCCGGAATGGCGAAGGTATCCAGTAGGATGTCGAGAGAGAGTGACGGCGCCGAATCGAGCCCAGTTGTGTTACTGCAATGTCGCCGTCGGATCTGGTTGTGGTGGCGAACCCAGATGTCATCACCAACGTCGACGTCAAACAACATACTGCCTCTGTGCGATACTACGGTTGCTTCAATCCAGTCTGGGAACCCCGCTCGATAATCACGAACGAAGACAGGTGTTCCGATGGAGAGCTTGCTGCGAGAAACTGGAGAAGTCTGCGCGGGCTGCGCACCGGTAGGGACGAGGGCATGAAACGTTGTACGCAGTTTTCGGCCCATCAACGCTTCGGCAGGAGAAACGCCACCAGGGGAGGCCGGGTTCGGTGTCGTCCTGTAGGAAAACAGGAACGCCTGGACTATCTCGTCCGTGGTCCCCTCCCCACGAGCTTTCAAGTGGGCTCTCTTAAACGTGTCGAAAAAACGCTCCGCCTGACCGTTAGACTGAGGATGGTAGGGCGGGGAGCGAAGATGCTGGATGTTGTGCTGGCGGCAGAAATCTTCAAACGTCGACGAGATAAACTGAGAACCATTATCTGAAACCAGGACTTCTGGTAAGCCATGCTGGCTAAAGATGCGTCGTAGGAAGGCGATAGTGGCAGATGCGGTTGCTGGATTCAGCGGAGCAATCTCGGGCCATTTCGAGTAGGCGTCAACCAAGATTAGGTAGGAGACTCCGTTAAGTGGGCCGGCGAAGTCGATGTGCACGCGTGACCAAGGCCTCTCTGATGGTTCCCATGGTACTGGCGGTTGACGAGGCGGCATCTTGGCAGCTTGCTGACATCGAGAACAGCGTCGAACCAGGTCGTCGATGTCGCCGTCGATACCCGGCCAGTAAACAAAACCGCGAGCAATTGACTTCATTCGGCTGGCACCAGGATGAGCCGCATGGAACTGGCGTAGTACAGTGGGTCGGAGGGAAGATGGGATCACCACACGGTCTGCAAACATGAGGCAGGAGTCAACCACAGATAGCGATGCTCGGCGGAGGAAGAGCTGGCGAAGATCGCCAGCGAGAGCAGTGGTTGGCCAGCAGGTCTGCACGTAGGTGATGGCCTGGCGGAGGACAGGATCCTGTTCAGTAGCACGTCGGATGTCCGCGGCAGTGACAGGGATACCTCGTATGGCGTCTGATAGCTGACGGCGCACACCGTCCTCAATCGAAATAGCTGCAATCACGGTATCTTCCTCCGGTTCCTGCTGATTGCTGATGAGGCGAGAAAGGGCGTCAGCCTGACCAAAGTCTGTAGTACGACAGTAGCGAATGTCGAAGTCGTAGCCAAGAAGGATGGTTGCCCATCGTTGAAGTTGGCTGGCTGAGTAGACGGGAATGCCCTTCTTCGAACCGAAGATTGACAGCAACGGTTTGTGATCCGTCAACAACGTGAAGTGGCGACCGTACAACAGTTTGTGAAATTTCTTGACGGCAAACACGAGGGCTAGAGCTTCTTTCTCTATTTGCCCATAGTTCTTCTCCGCAGGGGTTAGCGTGCGAGATGCATGCATGATCGCCTTTTCAGACCCATCAGAAAAAGTATGTGAGATGACGGCACCAACTCCGTGGTTAAAAGCATCTGCAGCAACAACGATCGGCAGCGTCGGGTCGTAGTGCGTGAGCAACAGATCTGAACTCAGCATCGACTTTAGCTGGGCGAAGGCCTTTTCACAGTCGGGGGACCAGCACCAAGGAGCATCCTTCTGCAACAGACGGTTGAGCGGGGCCCGTACGTCATGCAGCGATGGTAGGAAGGCACTTTAGTAGCTGATCAGGCCAAGGAACGAACGAAGTTGCGATACATTCTTGGGGGCAGGCATCCGTTGGATGGCCCGAATGTTTTCAGGATCTGGATGGCGACCATTGGCGTCAAAAACGAATCCAAGGTATTTGATGGAGTCGAGGAAGAATTGGCACTTGTCGGCCCGTAGGCGAAAGCCATACTCCTGCACGCGTTCGAGTACTGCGCACACTCGGTCTTGCAGCTCGGCAGGGGAGCGACCCACGATGATGATGTCGTCCAGGTACCCAGCTGTGCCAGGGATGCCGGAGAGCATTGCGTTCATCGTTTGTTGAAATAGGGCCGGGGCAGTCTTGACACCAAAGGGCAGCCTGGTGTATTGGAACAGACCGCGGTGGGTATCGATGGTCAACAATTCGCGCGACTCTGGGGCGACCTCGATCAGCATATACGCATCAGCAAGATCCAACTTGGCAAAGCAAGTGCCACCATTCAGCAGGGTGAAAAGATCAGCCGGAACCGGTAATGGATAGCAGTTCGGCGTCAGCGCGGCATTGAGACCGGTGGAGAAGTCAGCACAAGTGCGGACCGAGCCATTGGGATTCTTAAGCACAACGATTGGAGCGGCCCAGGCGGAGTAGGATACAGGAACCAGAACTCCCAGTTCCTCTAGACGTTTCAGTTCAGCCTCGATAAGTGGTAGGGCTGCATATGCGACTGGTCGCTTTGGACGGAAGACTGGTTGACTTCCAGGAGACAGATGTAGCACGGCTTGAGTGTATGTCCAACGACCCAGGCCGTCTTCGAACACTGGAGCAAAGCAAAGAATGTCCTTGGCTTGGTCTGCAAGCGCAGCGGGAATCTGCACCTGACTGCAAACAACGCGGAGCGGCATATCGGCCAACCCAAGTTGTTCAATCCAGTCGAGACCAAGTAGGTTTAGATCAGACTTGGTGATGTAGCAGATCGCAGTGATGCTGGTGCCGCGGAACGACCCACAGCATTGCAGCTGCCCAATTAGCTGTACGAGACCACCGCACGCGCTTGCGGCGGACTGGGAAGTCTGCTGGATCGTGGGGCTGCCAAGGGACTGCCAGAGTCTCTCAGAGATGATGGTGATATCTGAGGCAGTGTCCAACTGTAGACGAACTACATGGCCATTGAGCAAGACATCAACAAATTTTCTACGACCAGACGCATTGAGCTGGAAAGCGGCCAAGAGACTCAGAGAATTACCAACGGACTGGGGTTTGGGCTTGCGTTTTGGCCGGAAACGGTGCCTGGAATTAGGAGTGGCGGGGGCTGGCTTGCCTCCAGAAGCTGGTACTGATTTGCAGAACCCATCACGGTGTCCCACCTGATTACAGCTTTGGCAGCGATGCTGGCGGAAAGTGCAATCCCGGTGGAAATGCCACGCGCCACAGTGCCGACAAGGAGATGACGGAAATCTCGACTTGGACTCTTGCTTGGGCCGTGTAACAGGATGCGATTTGGTTGATGTGACCGTATGGACTGAGAAAGATGAGGCCAGGTTCTGAATCATTGTAGAGTCGTGCTTGAGATTGATCAGCGTTTGGCACTCTGCTGCCAGCTCTTGGAGTGTGGTGGAGTTTTTCTGCTGCACTTTGGACAGGAGACGTGTCCGGATATCAGCATCCTTGGGGGACTGGAGGCCGCAGATAAATATAAAGCATTTAAACTGGTCTTCAGTGAGAGAACCGAGATGGAAACGCCCAAACTCACGAGTAACAATGCCCGCATGTTATGAAATCATCGGAATCTCGTTTGCGCAGTTGCAGACACTGAAATCGAATGTTGAAGAGAGATGATTGCTCACCAAAAATCTGCGACAACGTCTCAACCGTGTCCTTGAAAGCGACCTCTCGGGGATACTTGGGGGGATGAAGTTTGCATAACGCTCGTGTTCAGCCGCACCCAGTTTGCGAAGAAGGAGTCAAACCTTCCATGCATCGTCCTGGGCAGCCAGATCGACAGAGAACAAGTCCTCGTATCGTTTGTACCAGGACTCAAAGGTGATATGGGCCTGCGGGTCATACAGGAATTCAGTGATGCTGTCGACAATGTGATCAACAGATTGCGAACCACCAGCCGCGCTTGATTGGCCCATGGATGAGTTGGATAGCTTGACGGTCAGAGCCTCCATCAGCTTCAGCTGCTGCTGCAACATCTGCTTCAAGTCTGTATACTCGTCAGCCGTTGTAGTTGAAAAACTGCGTCGCCAAATTTGTTATGACCCGCCTGGTACGCGAAATCCTGTGGAGCGTATGCGCACTCGACCCTTGTCCCCAATACCAACGCGGCAGAGAAGGAGAACGCGACCGGCCACGATACTGTGTATTAGGAAAATGCAAGTCAACATGAACTGGAAGTAACGCGTATTTATAACGCCTTACGGTGCTTCGCCGGCGTTCGGCCCAATGCCCTTCGGGAAGAACATTTGAGACGAGCCGGTCGATAATTCGAATATGCTGATCGATCAGGCCCGCGAGGAAAAGCCAATGGAGAGGCGCCACGATTAAGATGACAGCGCAGTAGAGAAAACGCACGTGGCCTCCCGTGATTGGCTGGCGCTTGTTTTTGGGAGTGTAGGCACTCCCAACACTTACAAACGGGGAACCCAGAAAAACTTCAGGAATTCAGACAGCAACTAAACTTATGCAAAAGACTCATCCGTGAATTACGAGGTTCTTATGAACTGAAGCTCCTGGAAGAGGCACAGCAAATACCTAAAGCGTTCTATGCATATATCAGGAGCAATACGAAAAACCGGGACCATCTAGCAACCTTAAAGGACAAAACTAACCGAATTGTGAGCGATGGCTTTCAAAAAGCCTAGCTTCTTTCCGAGTTTTTCCAAAGTGTCCACACCACGGAACAACCCCTCCAGTTCTATTCTCTTCCACTGCCCGCCAACCAACCACTTATATGCACAGTAGTTTTTACTCCGCAGTTAGTTTTAGCAGAGCTAAATAAGCTGGATCCGGCCAAGTCATCTGGACAAGATGAGACCCCAGGTGTACTTCTGCGTCTGTTAACCAAAGAATTAGCAGCGCCACTTTCGATAATCTTCCAAAAATCGCTGGAAGCTGGCAAACTACCTGACACATGGAAGTTGGCAAACGTCGTACCTATCCACAAGGGAGGATCACGGCTATGTCCCACGAACTACCGACCGGTTAGTTTGACATGCATTTGCTGCAAACTAATGGGAAAATTAGTTAAAAATCTATTACATTACTTGATACTTTCCGCTCTCACATCGCCTCAGTTCAACATGGCTTCTGCGAAAAAAGGTCGTGCCTCAAAAACCTGCTTTCATCACTCGAACACTGTTCAAAGGCCATGGATGAAGGACATCCGGTTGAGGTCATTTACTTCGACTACAGCCAGGCGTTCAATTGCGTCCCACATAAGCGCCTCATTCAAAAGTTGTCAGAATTAGGGATAAGAGGAAATCTTCTGAACTGGATTCAAGATTTCCTAAACGGACGGCGACAAAAAGTCACTGCGGGCGGCTACTGCTCAGAATGGGCACCTGTTACGAGTGGAGTCCCACAGGGGTCAGTTCTTGGGCCGCTCCTATTCATTATCTATGTAAATGACCTAGTACGGGAACTTAAATCGGAAATAGCTCTCTTTGCAGACGATCTTAAACTTTGGAGAGCGATAAAAGATGAAGATGACGTCAAGATACTACAAGAGGACGTAGAGAATTTGCAGGCATGGAGCGAGAAATGGTGCATGAAATTCAACGTCAAAAAATGTGCAGTAATGCACGTAGTATCAGCGAGGCGAAGAACAAATGCACCCCCACGACAGTATCTCCTGGACAATCAACCACTTAAAACCGTAGATGTGCAAAAGATATCGGTGTGTTCATTAAAGACGATCTAAGCGTCACCACGCAGTGTTCTAAAGTCGCTGCGCGGGAAACGTCCGTTATGAGCGCGTTACGCAGAACGTTTATACACTTGAATAAAGATGTCTTTGGCAAAGTTTACGGGACATTTGTGCGGCCGCACTTGGAATATGCGGTACAGGCTTGGCGGCCGTGGCTTCGGAGGGATATAGATATCCTTGATGATGTACAACGGCGTGCTACAAAGGCCGTCCTGACCTAAAAAACTTCACGTACGAGCAGCGCCTGACAGACTTGAACCTCTATCCCCTCCAATACAGGCAGGACAGAGGCGACCTCATAGCAACGTTCCAGTTGGTAAAAGGACTTAATATGGATGTCGACTGGGAAACGTTTTTTGAAATGGCACCCAAGTCAAATCTCAGACGACATGATTACCAGCTTAAAAGGGAACTGTGCCACACAAATCAACGCTCCTCCTTCTTCTCACAGAGGGTCATTCGCCTTACTGAACTACAAGCAAAAGCTTTGCAATTTACTTATTTTCCCTTATATCTGTACCCTCTAAATGGAGTTTTCAGGGCTTCTGTCGTTTAATCCAAATACACAGACTGATACTGACTGATAGGAAATCGCGGAAAAAGCTACACTTTGGGAACAACGTTTTGTCAGCCTCGAATTCCAATTTTGAAACAACTATGTAACGTTCTGAGCCCTCGAGTTGGCCTAGGGTTGACACTGACGATGGCATGCAACCTCTACAGAAAAGTAGGTCAAGTATGCTTGATCCTCGGGTGGGAAAATCGACAACCTGAGTCCACATCCCAACATCTACAGCCTCAAGAAAGTCTTCGAACATTCTGGGGCCTGCAGGCGGATACCAGCGGACTTCACGGAGATCAAACTCATCCGCAACCAATTGATACTTAAAGCTTGAGTCGGCCGCAGCATGAAATGTCTGTGAGAGTAAACGATCAAAATTGTCGTTGGCGTTGGGAGGGCGATGGACACAGCCAACGAGT